TTTCAGAACCTTCTCAGACAGCACTGTAGGGTAGTGGTCAAGCAACAGGACTTTTCTCCCTCAGTAGAAAGCTATTTTCCCTGGGCCCTCTTTAGGCCTCCATTACTCTTTGATAAAACTGGAGCCATAGTCAAATAATCACTGACTGAACAGTGCCAACACATAGGAGTCACCATTGGGCTGATGACCTTCTAGAAAATACCACGATGTCTCTGCCAAGTTTGACCAACAAAGTGGGATTCTGGGGAATCATTTAACACAACCGTGCCATGGCCTGGGAATGTGCCTTTTTGTTTTGAAGCATAGTTGGTTCATGCTAAGCTGTCTTACGTGTATTATCCAGGGAAAGCTCTAGAATTTCTGTGGAGGAGGGGGCTATAGGAAGTCACTTTGGGACAAAGTCTGAGGGCTCAGCCTTAGCTCTCACAACAGACTCTATGGTCTCAGATTTTCAAGTGGATACAAGATAATGAATTTTGTTTGTGAACTTGTTTGAGGGCTGTGAGGGATTGCGGGAATCTGTGGACTGCTCTAGCTGTATGCACGGCAAACCTCTGCACTGAAGGTTTATTATGTTAACTGAGAGTCTTTGGAGAATTATGGGAGTTTGGGGAGTACTTCTACCAATTATTTGTACAATAAGCCTCCATCTTAGATTGTATATTTATTGGACAGTTTTGAGGGATTGTGGGAACTTGAGGACTCGTCTTCTGTTTGCATGGCAAATTGTTGGACTGAATATTTATGTTAATGGACAGTGTCAGTGGGGGTTCATGGGTATATCCAGTTATCCACATAGCAAGCCATTGGGTTGAATATTTTGTTGATTAAGGGGGTCTGTGGAAAGTCTTTGTAATTTGAGAGGTCTTCTGGGAACTTGTAGAGGAAACATCCATCTTTGATTATATATTTATTGTCTAGCTTTGTAGGTTTATGGAAATCTGTAGGCTGATCTGGCTATTTGCATAGCAAACCTCCATCTTGGAGTGTATGTTTATTGGCTAGTTTTGAAGAATTGTGGGACTTTGTGGGTGTGTCTTCAAGCTATTTGCATACTGAGCCTCAATCTCAGATTGTACATTTATTGGGTAATTTTGAATGATTGTGGGAATTTGATGAGGTTATCCTTTGGCTATTTGCAGATCAAACAGCCATCTTAGGTTATATGTTTATCAGGGAAGCTTGAGAGATGTGGGAATTTGTTGGTCTATCATCCAGCTATTTGCATAGAAAGTCACAGGATTGAATATCATGCTAACAGAAGGTGTTAATAAAAAATCTTGAGAATTTGTGGGGCTGTCTTCTGGCTATTTGCATAGCAAGCCCCCATTTTGGAATATGCATTTATTGGAGAGGATTATTGGAAGGATTATGGGAAATTATAGGTGTGTCTTCTATTTTCATTCCAAGCCTCCATCTTGGATAGCATGTTTATTGGAGCTTTGAGAGATTATGGAAATTTATTGGTGTGTCTTCTAGCTATTTGCATATCAAGCCTCTGCCTTGGATTATATATATAATATATATAAATTTTGAGGAATTGTAGAAAGTTGTAGGCCTGCTTCTTTGACTATTTGGATAAGAAGTCACTGGACAACTTATTGTGTTTATTTCATCTCTGGTAGATTATGGCAACTTGAGGTCTTGCTATTTGCATATTGAGATTCCATCTTAGATTGTATATTTCTTGAATATTTTTGAGGGATTATGGGAGTTTGTAGACAGCTCAAACTATTTGCATAGCAGCCCCCCTTGGCTGGAATGTTTATTTGGGCTATTGGAGGGCTTGGAAGATTATAGGAATTCTTGACGTCTTCTGACTACTTACACAGCCGCCATCTTAGATTTTGAATTTATTGGATAGTTTGAGGGATTGTGAGAATTTGTGGATATGTCTTCTAGGTGTTTGCAAATCAAACCCCCATCTTAAATTGTGCAATTATTGAATAGCTTTGAGGAGTTGTGGGAATTTGGGAAGGCTGTCATCTGGCTATTTGCACCACAAGCCTCCATCTTGGAATATGCATTTATTGGATAGTTTGGAGGGATTATGGGAAATTACAGTTGTGTTATCTATCTATTTACATTCCAAACATCCATATTTGATTGCAAGCTTATCCCAAGTTTATTGGAAAGCTTTGAGAGATTATGGAAATTTGTGGGTGTGTCATCTAGCTATTTACATATTACCTCCATATTAGATTGTACATTAACTGGGTTTGTGGGATTGTGGGAATTTGTGGGTCTGTCCTTTGGCTATATGCATAGCAAACTCATATCTATATTTCTATTGTGTATTTATTTGGGGGGATCAATTGGAGATAATGGAAACGGATGGGAGTGTCTTCTACTTGCCTAGGAAGCTTACATCTTGGATTGTACATTTATTGATGAGTTTTGAGGGATTGTGAAGATTGGTGGGTGTGTCTTCTAGCTATATGCATATTAATAACCTTAAATTATGCATTTATTGGGTAGCTTTGTGGGACTGTGGGAATTTTTGAGCCTGTCTTTTGGCTATTTGTATAGCAAACCCCATATATATTTCTATTGTATGTGTACTGGAAGAAGGTTAATGGAAGATTAAAGGATTTACAAGAGTGTCTTCTATTTGATTAATGAGCCCCCAATTGGAATTGTGCTTGTGTGCTTATTGGATAATTTTGAAGAACAGTAGAAAATAAGGAGGATATCTAATGGCTATTTGAAATCAGCCACCATCTTGGAATATATAAATATAATTTGGAGAGATAGTAAGAATTAGTGGGCCTGCCTTTTTGACTATGGGGATATCATGACATTGAAATTGTGTTTATTTCATCTTTGAAAGATTATGGGAATTTGAGGTCTAATTATTTGCACATGAAGACTATATCATAGAATGCATATTTATTGCATGGTTTGGAGGGATTGTGGGAAATTATTATAGCTTCATCTCTCTATTTGAATGGAAAGCAAAACACTAACCCTAAGCCAACCTAACACTAAACCGAACTTAAATATAATCCTAAAAAAAACACCTAACCCTAACACAATCCAAACCCTAACAATAACCCAACAAAAATAGTAACAATAACACTAACCATTACCAAATCCTAACTCTAAGCAAAAATGAACCATAACCCAAACACAACTCTAGCTCTAACCCTAACACCAACCCAACACTAACCCTAACACTAACCCAAACCTAACCCTAATCCTAATCCAAAACATAACCCTAACTCAACTCAAATTCTAACCCTAACCCCAATCCAACCCAAACACTAACCCAACCCTAATCATAACCCAACCCTAATTCAACCCTAATCCAAACCCTAACCCTAGCCTAACCCTAACCCTAACTCTAATCCAATCCTAACCCTAACCCTAACTCTAACCCTAACTCAACCCTAACCCTAACCCTAACTCTAACCCTAACCCAACTCTAACCCTAACCCAACCCTAACCCTAGTCCTAATGTGCATTGGAAAGCTTTGAGGGATTGTGGAATTTGTGGGTGTGTTTTCTAGCTATTTGCATATTAAGTAGCTTAAATAGTACATTTATTGGGTAGCTTTGAGGGATTGTGGGAATTTGTGGGCCTGCCTTTTGGCTATTTGTATAGCAAACCCCATTTTTATTTCTATTGTACATTTATTGGGATTATGCACATTTTGGGGATTATATAAATTTATTTGGATTATGAGAATTTGTGGACTTGTCTGGATATTTGCATAGCAAGCCTCTATCTTTACTTGGATTATAGGGTTATTTGGACAGTTCTGGGTTTATTTTGCACCCAAATAAGCATAATCTAATTACCAGGTTGCTACAGTGCAAACTGGCTTGGGAAGACTACAGAGATAGGAATGGAAAGAGCGCTTCTGTGGCCCTCCTTGGAGCTCACACTTGAAGTAATCTAGGCTAAAACTTGATCTGGCTGGGCTTAATTACTTGGGGGTCTTGGTTACAAAATTAACTTGACCCCTGTCTCATTTGGTTCATTTTGGAGGTACGATGTGCTAATACGGGGGTCAACACTGGGCTCTTCCCTGTGTGGAAAGCACAAACTTGGGGAATGAGCCCAAAGGGCAAAGATAAAGGGGGTACAGTGGATCTCAGTCTCAAGTCACAGTCCAATTATGCTTGATATTGCCCCCAAGTCTCCCCATCTCACCCCCAATCATAATGAAAGCTTCTTTTGAGTGATAACACCTTATGCTGTATTTGTAATTATATCTTCTTTAGCAATTAATTGTACTTTTCCCATAGTTTTGCATATTGACTCTTCAGAACTCTTTACTTATTAGTCAATCCAGTTTATTTCACCCAATCTGACACCTAGGATATTTTTATGTCATTTTTCATTTTCTTATAGTCATCCCCTCCAACCTCCTTTATGGCAAGAACTAAATTTTTAATTTAGATGTGTAATTAATCTTCACCCAGTTCATCTTGGTGTGGGATGAATGCTTTCAACTGTTACTCAACTCCCATCTCCCCCACCCACAGGAAACACTGCCCATTGATCCCTTACCCCACCCCAACCCCACCTCCCCTACCCACAGACCCGCCCCTTCCACTCCCCTATTCCCAAGAGTAGGCTCTTAGCCTTAGCAGGGGAAGCAATGGTCAGAGGGTAGCTAGCAATCTGTCTGGGGGAAAGATGAGGGATGGAAGCTTTGGTACTCCAAAGATTAGGTCCCCCCCCCCCGCCCACCCTCCAATATACAGTGGCCACCCATCACTCCGCTTAGAGCTCTAGGACCCATCTTTCACCATGGAGACCCAGTTGGTGCATAGACCAAGCCCCACCCGTGGACATCAGGGCCCACTCGGCGCAAATCAGTCAAATGACATCACGTTTTATTTTATTTTTAATTTTTATTTTGATTTTTTAATGCTGCACAACACAATATTTCATTTATTTCTTTATTTCTGTTTGTTGCTGCTTTTATTTTACTTACTGAAAGTGAGAGGGAACTTTTGTGGCCTATTTATTTTTCTTTTTCTCCTGTAGGCCGCCTTAAGCTTACTAAATTTGGAACATCTAAGCAAGCTGAAGGGAAAGAGGGGTTTTCAGAATCACTGGGGAGAAAAAGGAAAGGTTGCGTTGTTAATCATGCCCTATGGTGGGTGATCAACTGCTTTTCAATTACGTTTCACTCTTAATTAATTGGTGCTTAAGGCTGAATTAAATTTGGGTGTTCCCTTCTTAGAGCAGCTCGTATTGGCGGAGATGCATGCGCTGGATGATGTCACGGCAGTCGTTGAAGACACGGCGGATGTTCTCAGTGTCCACGGCGCAGGTAAAGTGAGGGTAGCAATAGTGGCGCCCATCTCCACTAGCAGTGCTGATTCTCTGTGGGTGAAAGAGAGTCTCAGTCAGCAACCCTCTCGAGGAAGCCCCTCACACCCCACCACGGAGGACCAGTCATTGCTGGTAAAATACAATGGGTGGTTCGACCTCAAAACCCAGCACTGACTGGAGAGGTGAGGGACTACAGACAAGCCCCGCTTACCAGAAACTCATCGCGAATGAAGTACTTGGCCCGGGTCACGCGTGGGTCCTCTCCGGGCTCGGGAGTCGCTGCAAACACACAACAAAAGCAAATATTATTAATTATTCTAATCAGTTGAGAAGAATTAGCCTGACACCATTGTAGCCTGTTTCCTACACTCTTGATCTCGGCATAAGAAAATGAAATAAGCAAATGTCCCGGTCGCCACCCACCCCCCAGTGGGAGGGAGTAGGGACTCATAGCTACACCTTCCCCCAAGATCCACCTGACCAAACAGTAGGGAGCACGTACCATCCTCAGGAGTGGTGTAGCGAGCGAACTCTGGAAAGTAGTCCTCAATCTTCGATTTTCCAGCGAGGACTTTCTCAGCAAGCAGGTCTTGCTTGTTGAGGAAAAGAATCACAGAGATGGTGCGCAGCCATCTGAGGAGAGAGGGCTGGAGTCAGCGCCGGGGAGGGGCCAGGGCGCAGGAGTCCTGCAGGGCAGGCTGCGAGACCCCACACACCTGTTGTTCCAGATGCTCTTGAAGAGGTTCAGAGCCTCCTGCAGGCGGTTGGTCTGGTTGTCCTCCCGAATGACCATGTTGTAGCTGCTGCTGGCCACCACGAAGATGATGGCAGTCACGTCATTGAAGCACTGGATCCACTTGCGGCGTTCATCGCGCTGGCCACCCACGTCGAACATGCTGGAAGAGAAAGGAGACTGGGTTATTTTGGGCCCACCACTCTACAGGCCAGAGTTGGGATTCAACAACCATCCACTTACTGGAAGTTGACTTTGTCCACCTGGAACTTGGTCTCAAAGATTCCAGAGGTCAGGACACGGCAGCGAAGCAGGTCCTAGAATAAAGAGCGGGGTCAGTGATCCTCACCCTAATGGCCCAAGATGGGGAATCAGCAACATGGAGCCATAGCCTTGAGGCTTGAGACACACACATACCTGGTCGCTTGGCACATAGTCGGCCTGCTTGATCACGTCAATCTTGTCCAGGAAGCTTGGAAGAAAGGGGGGCATGGTGGTCAGCATGTGTGTGCAGATGGCGGGTATGGAAACAACAGACAGGTTTCCAAGGGGGTGGCGGCCCGACCCTTCATTTTGATGTGAAAGGGAACTTTAAAATTTTAGCCCTTTGCAAAATGGTTAAAGGCATTCCAGATGGCAAACTTTTAGTTTAAAACAAACAAACAAAAAAATCCCAATCTTGTGGTGAAGCTCAACTCTAAACACAATTAGGGAAATTAACTTTTGCCTCGTGCAAGACTGGGAAATGTGATGTGCAAAAGCAAAGTAAATGGTGGCTCAGAGGGGGCTGCGGGTGGGGGTTGGGAATGGTTTAAAGTAATCAGAAAGGAGAAATCTCAAAGGAGCAGGTCTACCTATTTAAAGAACTCCCCTAAGTTTTTTGTTGTTGTTGTTTGTTTTTTTGTTTGTTTGTTTGATTTTCCCCCCTCCTTCCCTTCCTTTTTACCAGTTCTGAGTTAGTCTGGCTTAGAGGATACACTAACTGGCCCAATCAATCTTACATTACAGCACAGGCCCAGAAATAGCTCCCCAGCCACCCTGGCCTCCAGCATGTTGCCATGGCAACAGAACCACAATTCTATAAATAGATCCTTAGCACCAAATCTTGTGAGAAGACATCTGGAGTGGGGCCAGCCAAACTGCAGCTCAACAAACACAAACCTGGCAGCTTATGAAGTGGGCCCAGGCCCAGTGCCTGCCCCTCCAACATAAAGGCCGTTAAACAGGCACGGGCGGGCCACTGTGTGCTCAGGGCCCGGCAGGCAGCTTACACTTTTTCTTCAAGTTTCCTTAAAACTTTTCAGAGTTGGTGCACGAGGCAGAGTTTTCAGGAGTGTATTGTAGTGCTTTCAACAACAACAAAGGGGTGTGACCCCAAAGAAGCTGGCTAAGTCAGTGTTAAAGAAGCTGGCCCCCACAATTCACCATGGGGTAGCTGAGACTCCTCATCTTGTATCTGTACTTAACTCCTGAATTGGATCCAGAATACAAATCACAAACAATTCCAGGATTTCCATTTGTTTTGTGTTTCTATAATTAGTGCTTCCAGCTTTTAGTACAAACTTTTGAGAAAAATCAGGAACTTTGTTGAAGGAGGGGGGCTGGGGACCGTGGGGATTGCTTTTCAGTTCCTTGAAAGAACATGTAACTTTGTGTCTTAAACCATGACCGCCTATATATGTAGCAACATTGAAAGTAACAAAGGAGGTCCCTGTGGAAGAGCTGGCCTAGAAAAGGGTCACTGTAGATTCTCCCCTCACCAGCCCCAAATAGGGGTGCTTTGTGTCTTATAAGGCATGGGCAAGTAAAAACATCTCGTGTGTTTTTATGATGGGACCACTACGTGCTTGCTGTATTGTGTATGTCCCTAAATGCTTAGGTCATTTCCATGAGTTACCACTTTACTACAGTAATTACTGCCTTGCTCTAGCAGGTATTAATTGTTTATGTAAAACAGTATCAGTGTGCTATAAAGCGCAATTAAAAGCTTTATAAAACAAATGAATCAGACTAGAACTTTCTGAGTGCCTGTGGGCTAGCAGCTTCTATGCGTATTTCTGTCTGTCATGTGTGTGCACACGTGTGTGCCACTGGCTACTTACTACTGGGCACAGTCAATCAGCTGGTACTCGTTGGAGCGCTCATAGCAGGCACGCACTCCCTCGTCCTCCCACAGAGCCTTGGCATGCTCATAGAATTCCTGAAAGAGAACCCAGGAAAGAATGTCGGTTAAAAGATGTGCATACATACCAACTGGGAACCCTGCCCCTGAGGCCATAGTTCACTATGTGAGTTCAAATGTGAGCCCTGCATGAAACAATGTGTGGAAAGAGCCTGCAGTCCTATTAAACACCAGAAATCAGTGTAATTAGCATGATTTCATCATTGGGGAGCACCCATAGTCGTGGGTAGATGTTTCTGTCACTTATGTTGGGGTGGGGGCAAACAAACATCTTTATTTTAGTATTAAGCATAGGCTTTGAATGAACTTATGCATTCACGTGGCAAGTATGTGTCTGGTCAGTCTTGCCTACATGTAACCTTGTCCCTTGTGTTCCCTCTGGGCCTTGCTCCTGCTCAGGTGAGCGGGGAGGGAGGGAAGCCAGGGTTGAGGTGGGGCTTACAGGTGGGAAGTCAAAGTTGGGCACGTTCATCACGCTCAGAATGTAGTCGACGCGGAACTGATTCTCAGGGTTGGCCAGCTCCACAGGGGGTACCAGGTTGCTCATGGCGGCCACGATGGTCTGAAAATGATTTAGCAAAAATGGTCAGGGGGCAGCACTATGGGAAGAGGGGGTACTAAAAGATATGAGCAAGAGGCAGTGCACATACTTCAATGGCCTCCTTCAGGTTGTTTTTGATGTCCTGCACTTTGGTGGCCTTCTCACTACAGTGGAATTGAAAAGAAAAAAGAAAATCATATTGCATCCTGCCCACCAGGATGTCACCTGCATCGAGACATGTCAACTAAAAAGCATAGTATTCTGTTCTCCAAGGAGTTGTGGGTTCAGATCTGTAGAGATTAGAGGCACCCAAATAAAAATAAATTAATTCCCCAAATATGTCCCAAGGACACACCCAATAGGGCTGGATTAGTGATGCGGCATCGAGATCTCGATCAACTGTACCAGAAATTGCACCTGGTTCACCTGCTATTCTAACCACACCTAAATGCTCCCTGGGTGGCTTCTTCTTGACTTGGACATATTGGGGGTGGTGTGGAGGTAGGGTTAGGGCATGTTGAACTCATGATTCAGAATGTTGTGAAACCCAGGGGCAACAAGTGTTTATTATAGATGTTAGGGCTGTCCATTCCCATGTATTTACTTGTAGATTTATTATTTATCTAAATCGCTGTGAACTTGTCAGAGGGAGATGATACTTGGGGCGCTGGGCCTTAAGGCACTTTCCTTTAACAGTGTTAATATACACTGGCCCCCAGTTGTGATTAGGGGTCCTTTCTGGTCCCTGCATTATTGTTAGGTATGGAGTTCATGTATACTGGGGGAGGAGCTGGCCAAATGGTCTGTGGCTTCTTATTTTAACCAGTCCACAGGATAGCCTATGTGGTCTTTCTGGGGTGATCTCTACGTAGTCAGAGTCACTGACCCCACAGGTAAAGGTCACAACCTCTAGCTATGAGGGTGGGTGCTGTCCCCCAGATGGAATGTTAATTTCCAGAGGTTACAGTGATTCAGAATGCCGTGTGTCTTTTAGGAGACAGCCTTTATGCCAGGCACAGCCAGAGGGAATTGTGAGCTTGTCTTTAGGGGACCAGCAAAGTCCCCCTTGCTTGGAGCAGATCTCATCTTGTCCAGCTTGAGCCTTGTCTTCTGCATGAATAGTGGGGGATTAGAAGATCACCATGACTTGTAGAGTGTGAGGCCTGATGGCACAGAACAGGACATGGAGAGGAACAGGCTCTTATCTTTCTGATGGGGAAACCGAGACAGGGCTGGGGTTGGTTGTGACAAAGTTAAGACAGAGCTGCTTTTGCTGACCTCTGTGATAAAAGGCACAAGATGGCTATAGTTAAACCATCCCCCCTTCCCATGAAATAGGGTATAAGATTAATTTGCAGGGATACAAGATGAGGACCAGCAGCAACTATAGCCGGTGGGGGGTGGGGTGGCAGGTGGGCCTCAGGTGGAGATATGGGGTTTATGTATATGCCTGCCAGGAGGGCGGGGCTATGGGGGTCATGTGCATGCCCAACAACAGAGTGAGGATCTAGGGGGTCTTGTATATGCCCACCAATGGGGTGGGGATCTGGGGGTCTTGTATATGTTATGCCTATCAACAGGGCGAGGATCTAG